TCCGATGCGCCCAGCAGTGTTTGTTCCATTTCTTACTTAGTCGATCGTGCGCTGCGGTGTGATGTGCAAGCGTTTACTTGCGCGGCGGTCTTGGTGGCGGTGTTATCGCGTTTCTTGTGATTTTAAGTTGGTAGTTGAATTACAATCAGTCACCACAGATAAGATTTAGAATTAACAGACAAGTGCGGCCTAGAGTTAATGAGTTAATGAGTTATAGCGCATGGAACCAAGAATTTCGTGGTTTTACAAAGTACGCAACACGTGTTTACCGTCGGTCGTCTGATATCTTCCATCGGCAAAGATTTTCTAGTGGTTTTGCTTGGTGTGTCCAATTGATTATTAATTTGAATAAAACTCCTTTGTGCACCGTATGGAATATTTCACCTGCGAAAAAGTAAAAAATATGTAAAATAAATACTATATTCTATCTGCCCCCTGTAACTCGCGAAAATTGGCATAAAACTGTAATTCGGCATTGTTTTATTGAGTTTTCACGCGATCTAGGCGTCGTACTAACTTCAGCATGGCATCAAAAGATGCAGAATTAAATTCTCCGTCGGGTGGTAGTAGTTTGTTGCAGGAACTCCCCTGTAACCTGCGAGAATTTGCTTAAAATTGTATTTTTTATGCTTTTTTTGGTTTGCGCGCGATTTAGGCCGCTCACTATCTTTAGCGCAGCATCAAAACATACGGAATTAAATTCTCCGTCGGGTGGTAATAGTTTGTTGCAGGAACTCCCCCTGTAACCTGCAAGAATTTGCTTAAAATTGTATTTTTTCATTGTTTTATTGGGTTTGCGCGCGATCTAGGCATCTCACTAACTTTAGCGCGCAATCAAAAGATGCAGAATTAAATTCTCCGTCGGGTGGAAATAGTTTGTTGCCGAAACTCCCCCTGTAACCTGCAAAAACTTGCATAAAAATGTATTTTTTAATTGTTTTATTGGGTTTGCGCGCGATCTAGGCGTCTCACTATCTTCAGCATAGCATCAAAAGATGCGGAATTAAATTCTCCGTCGGGGGGTAATAATTTGTTGCAGGAACTCTCCTTGTAACCTGCGAAAATTTGCATAAAACTGTAATTCATTGTTTTTTCGGGTTTGTGCGCAATCTAGACGTCTCAGTAACTTTAGAGTGGTGTCAAAAGATGCGGAATTAAATTCTCCGTTGGGTGGTTACAGTTTGTTGCAGGAGCTCCCCCTGTAATCCGCAAAAATTTGCATAAAACTATAATATTTCAATGTTTTTTTGGGTTTGCGTGCAATCTATGCGTCTCAGTAACTTCAGCGAGGCATCAAAAGATGCGGAATTCAATTCTCCATTGGGCGGTTATAGTTTGTTGCAGGAACTCCCCTTGTACTAATTTGTTTTTTTTGTAATAGTTTAAAATCTAAACGAAATGCAAGATATCTCAATTTAAGACCGTGGTTCCTCTCATAGTGATTATTCCATATACTTCACTGTATATATATTGTGCACAATGAGAAAATTCTTAAATATTTCTTAAAAATAGGTATAGCAAAATTTATCTATTTTTGAGCATTTAAAAGGCAGTTTTGGCCTTTGTTTGATTTCAACTATAAAACACGCCTAAATATACTGCAATTTTAACTGCGATTTACTTATTTTTTGTCGCAAAATGTCCATATAAAATCATTATGTAAGCAGTAGCGGTCTAAATATAGAAAAATATTGTTTTTTTGCGGTTTTTTATTAATAACCTAAAAAACTATGATAGGTAAACTAATAAATTATAGATTAGTGAATACTACATTAAATTCTGCATCGAAGCACGAAAAGAAGTGACAAGAAGTATGACTGACAAAGAAGTTACAGGGTGTTCAAAATTATGTTTGTTAAATTTTGCAAATAATGAATTAATTGCTTATAATTGGCAACAAAATGTTATGAAGAACAATGTTTTGATTCAGTCAGGCACAGAATTTAATTCTGCATCAATATGTGAAAAAATCAACTTGATATGATAATTAGTTTTCTTGTAATCAATTAAAAACTAAACAAAATGCAAGATTTCTTAATTTAAGACCGTGATTCCTCACATAGTGATTATTCCATATACTGCACTGATCCTATATTGTGCACAATGAGATAATTGTTAAATGTTTCTGTAAAACATAGCAAAATTTATCTATTCTTGAGTATTTAACACACATTATTATTAATTTGAATAAACATCATTTGTGCATCGTATGGAATATTTCATCTGCGGAAACGTAAAAAAGTATGTAACATAAATAATAATATAAAAACTATATTCTATTACAATTACCAACTTGGAAAAACGATCGGAAAAATTTGCTATCGCTTTAATACATAGCATTCACTCCCGTTAGATTCAGTTTTTTTTATGTGCCCGATTGCTGCTTTTGTATCTTTATTCTGCCTCTAATCGGCTTTAAGTGTTTGCTAATTTGTGTGTTCAAGAAATCTTACCATAGTATTGCTTTAAAAGATATCAAATAAAATTAAAATTATTAGTAAATGTATTATTTATTATGTTTCTCTCCCTGCACATAGTACTTCTAGATATCCAGGAGAAAATAGGTAATAATACTTGTATTTTTGATTTTCTTTATGTATCACCCTGAAAATAAATTTTCTTTACTGACCAGTGAAAAATGAGAAATCCTTATTGTTTTGAGGAGATTTTCTTTTTTAATTGAAAATTTTCTTTTGATAACACCCTGTATATACTTTTCCACTGATGTCACGCAAAAACAGGGCGCAATTTGCTATTTTCCAGTGTTATCTTGTGTAATTTCGCAGCTCTGCAGGTCATAAACATGTTTTAAAATGACGTCATATGTCTTGTAACAATTGAACATACTAGTTATGAACTTATATTGTATTTAGTTTGTTAATAAAGAAATGTTAAAAACAATGGCTGTGTCTTATGATTTGTGCACCCCTTCCTTCATTCATTTCAGGTACAGGTCACAACGCGTAAAGTATTTCTCAGTGTTGTGGGCAGCTCTGAAATCGGCGACACTTAGAAATATCTCTACAAGTCCTTATAAGGAGTTCTCCCACTCGGGGGATGATCCCCACTATAAAAATTGTTAAGGTATCTTGTATGATTTGTGTACTCCATCTTTCATTTCAGCTACAGGTAAGAACTTGTAAGAATATTTTTAAGTGTCCCCTCTCTTGAGGCGACTTAAAAATTAGAAATATTTTTACAAGTTCTTAAAAGGATGTCCTTATAAGGAGTTCCCTCTCTCTGGGGATGATCCCCCACCATAAAAATTGTTGATATGCCTGATAATTCCGGGGATGAAGCGCAGAGACATCGTAGCTGTAGGATGGGCCGGGAGCAATGGACGGATCGAAGCAGTGGGCGATCGACCAGAGCGCGAGGCGCTCTGGGAGATCGACCGCAGACTGTCTTATAACGACACGTGCCAAAAAATTTAAAAATTCTATCACCCCTATTCTCTTTTCTTCCTGTACTCTCTCTCTCTCTCTTCTCTATTCTCTTCTTATTTCTCCTATTTCTTCCTGCTGCTGCTCTCTTCTTACTCTTTTCCTTACTCCTCCACCATCTCTACTTATTCTTACTGTTGCTTCGTCGTACTCTGCTTTTCAAGTTATTTCTAACATTTGAATCTTGAATTTTTGTGGTATGCAACCCACATTTCGTAAATTTCTTATTATTTAATAAAATTGCCTTCTACAACTGAGATTCGATCCTCGAACCTCCAGCATGCTAGCATATGCACATGCCACCTGAGCCATAACGCTCACTTATCAAGACATATTCGTTTCAGGTATAAATGTTGATGTATTTCTCACCTTTTTAAAAACAACAACACTTGTATAGCCTTCATACAAACGCCATCATACAAAAATAACTTTTATATATATTTCTGGAAACGATAAAGAGAATACAAAAATAAATATGCTTGATAGTATTATGTCAACTATTATTTTATTTCAATAAAAATGCCAATCAAAATATAATAAATTTGAAAAGTATTAAGTGAAATTAAATTATGATTTCAACGTATCACCTTATTTATTTCGTTACAATGACTGAAGATGCTACACAGCCGAAACGTGTCTAACGAATCATGACATAATAAATCCAATGGAAATTCAATATCACCGAAAGATATCCGACAGAAGACACGCGCGCAGCTAAATCTTAATCCTGAGTTTTACGCGCAATAATTATCACATTATCCCGTAATTACCACACGCCGTCGACGATCGCCCGAATGTAAAGCAAGCACCGAATGTCGGCACCGAATGCCACGAATGTCGACCGACGAATAAAACACGTGCGCATCGAGCAACAACGCACGGCCGACTAAGTAGGGAAGAGAGTTGAGAGACAAGATGAACAAAGCAAATAGTAAACAAACAAAAAGTTCAGTTTCGCGGCTGCCTAGAACTACTCACAAAATAATTTTATTTTGCAACCTAAGTCAATTTTAACATTAATTTAATAAATTATTTGAAACAAAAGGAACACACTGACAAGATTATTGTCAGTCTGGAATAAGTACTTACAATATTCAGTTGCTAGATGCCTAAATCAAACAAAAATCAGCATTAGCAAAATACTAAAATGGCGTTTTTGTGGCTTTCCCGTGAGTTTTTCGGAAAAGTTGCAAATGAAAAATGTAAAGAATTTTAATACCTACAATTTGGCGCCAAAATAAAGACGCTATGACAACGGGTTCAACCGCTAGACGTCTAAAACAAACAAAAATCAGCACCAGCAAAACCATAAAATGGCGTTTTTGTAGCTTTTCCGTGAGTTTTTCGGAAAAGTTGTATATGAAAATTGTAAAGAATTTTAATACCTATAATATGATGTCAAAATGAAGACGCTGTGACAACGGGTTCAGCTGCTAGACGCCAAAAACAAACAAAAATCAGCACCAGCAAAACAGTAAAATGGCGTTTTTGTGGCTTTTACGAGAGTTTTTTGGAAAAGTTGTATATGAAAATTATAAAGAATTTTATTACCTACAATTTGACGCCAAAATGAAGAGGCTGTGACAACGGGTTCAGCTGCTAGACGCCTAAAACAAACAAAAATCAGCACTAGCAAAACAGTCAAATGGCGTTTTTGTGGCTTTCTCGAGAGTTTTTCGAAAAAGTTGTATATGAAAATTATAAAGAATTTTAATACCTACAATTTGACGCCAAAATGAAGAGGCTGTGACAACGGGTTCAGCTGCTAGACGCCTAAAACAAACAAAAATCAGCACTAGCAAAACAGTCAAATGGCGTTTTTGTGGCTTTCTCGAGAGTTTTTCGAAAAAGTTGTATATGAAAATTATAAAGAATTTTAATACCTACAATTTGACGCCAAAATGAAGAGGCTGTGACAACGGGTTCAGCTGCTAGACGCCTAAAACAAACAAAAATCAGCACTAGCAAAACAGTAAAATGGCGTTTTTGTGGCTTTCTCGAGAGTTTTTCGGAAAAGTTGTATATGAAAATTATAAAGAATTTTAATACCTACAATTTGATGCCAACATGAAGAGGCTGTGACAACGGGTTCAGCTGCTAGACGCCTAAAACCAACAAAAATCAGCACTTGCAAAACAGTCAAATGGCGTTTTTGTGGCTTTCTCGAGAGTTTTTCGAAAAAGTTGTATATGAAAATTATAAAGAATTTTAATACCTACAATTTGACGCCAAAATGAAGAGGCTGTGACAACGGGTTCAGCTGCTAGACGCCTAAAACAAACAAAAATCAGCACTAGCAAAACAGTAAAATGGCGTTTTTGTGGCTTTCTCGAGAGTTTTTCGGAAAAGTTGTATATGAAAATTATAAAGAATTTTAATACCTACAATTTGATGCCAACATGAAGAGGCTGTGACAACGGGTTCAGCTGCTAGACGCCTAAAACCAACAAAAATCAGCACTAGCAAAACAGTCAAATGGCGTTTTTGTGGCTTTCTCGAGAGTTTTTCGAAAAAGTTGTATATGAAAATTATAAAGAATTTTAATACCTACAATTTGACGCCAAAATGAAGAGGCTGTGACAACGGGTTCAGCTGCTAGACGCCAAAAACAAACAAAAATCAGCACCAGCAAAACAGTAAAATGGCGTTTTTGTGGCTTTCCCGAGAGTTTTTCGCAAAAGTTGTATATAAAGAATTTTAATACCTATAATTTGACGCCAAAATGAAGAGGCTGTCATAACGGGTTCAACTGCTAGACGCTTAAAAGAAACAAAAATCAGCACCTGATTTCTTTCTTTCTCTCTTTCTTTCTCTATCATACAACGAATTAATAGCTAAAAGATTGTGAAGGGTTTGCGAGATATGAGCCGTGTTCCATCGTAAGTTTTGAAAAATGCAAAAATAGAGCAAACTTTCGCTGCCATTTTGAGACAGATTGGAATGAAATTCGCAAGGTTTCAAGGGTGCATCTTGAAAATGGACTCTTTCTCTATCATATAACGAATAAATAACTAAAAGATTGTGAAGGGTTCGCGAGATATGAGCCGTTTTCCACCGTAAGTTTTGAAAAATGCGAAAAGAGAGGAAATTTTCGCTGCCATTTTGAGATAGTTTGGACTGAAATTCGTAAGGTTTCAAAGGTGCACCTTGCAAAAGGACTCCTTCTCTATCATATAAGGCATAAATAACTAAAATATTGTGAAGGGTTCGCAAGATATGTGACGTTTTCCATCGTAATTTTTGAAAAAGCTAAAAAAAGAGCAAACTTTCGCGTCCATTCTGAGACAGTTTGGACTAATATTTGCAAGGTTTCAAGGGTGCATCTTAAGAAAGGACTCTTTCCCTATCATAAAACGAATAAATATATAAAATATTATAATGGGTTCGCGAGATAGAGCCGTTTTCCACCATAAGTTTTGAAAAATGCTAAAAAAGGCAAATTTTTGTAGCCATTTTGAGACAGTTCGGACTGAAATTCGCAAGGTTTCAGAGTGCATCTTGAAAAAGTACTCTTTCTCTATCATATAAAGAGAAATTAGCTAAAATATTATGTAAGGTTCGAGAGAAACAAGCCGTTTTCTATCGTAAGTTTTGAAAAATGCTAAAAAAGAGCAAACCTTTGCGGCCATTTTGAGGCAGATCGGACTGAAATTCGCAAGGTTTCAAGGGTGCATTTTGATAAAGGACTCTTTCTTTATCATGAAAAGAAGAAATAACCAAATATTGTGAAAGGTCCGCGAGATATGAGCCGTTTTCCATCGTAAGTTTTCAAAATGCCAAAAAAGAGCAAACACTCGCGGCCATTTTGAGACAGTTCGGACTGCAATTCGCAAGGTTTCAGGGATGCATCTTGAAAAACAACTCTTTCTCTATCATAAAAAAAAAGAAATAGCGAAAACATTGTGAAAGGTTCGCGAGATATGAGCCGTTTTCCACCGTAAGTTTTAAAAAATGCTAAAAAAAAGCAAACTTTCGCGGCCATGTTGTAACAGTTCGGACCGAAATTAGCAAGGATTCAAGGGTGAATCTTGAAAAAGGACTATTTCTCTATCATGTAACAAATAAATAACTAAAATATTGTGAAAGGTTTTCGAGATATGAGCCGTTTTCCATCGTAAGTTTTCAAAATGCCAAAAAGAGCAAACTTTCACGGCCATTTTGAGACAGTTCGGACTGAAATTCGCAAGCTTTCAGGGATGCTTCTTGAAAAAAAACTCTTTCTCTATCATAAAAAGAAGAAATAACTAAAATATTGTGAAAGGTTCGCGAGATATGAGCCGTTTTCCACCCTAAGTTTTGAAAAATGCTAAAAAAAGAGCAAACTTTCGTGCCCATTTTGTGACAGTTAGGGCTGAAATTCGCGAGGTTTTAAGGGTGCATCATGAAAAAGGACTCTTGCACTATCATATAAATAAAAAAAACTAAAAGGTCATAAAAGGTTTGCGAGATACGACCCTGTTTTCTACCGCATGTTTTGAAAAATGCAAAAAAAATAGCAAATATTGCGAGGTGTTCGTGAGATTTAAGCCCTTTTCCAACGTAAGTTTTGAATAATGCTAAAAAAGAGCAAACTTTCACGGCCATTTTGACTCAGATCGGACTGAAATTCGCAAGGTTTCAAGGGTGCATTTTGATAAAGGACTCTTTCTCTATCATACAACAAATTAATAGCTAAAAGATTATGAAGGGTTTGCGAGATATGAGCCGTTTTCCATCGTAAGTTTTGAAAAATGCAAAAATAGAGCAAACTTTCGCAGCCATTTTGAGACAGATCGGAAAGAAATTTGCAAGGTTTCAAGGGTGCATCTTGAAAATGGACTCTTTCTCTATCATATAACGAATAAATAACTAAAAGATTGTGGAGGGTTCGCGAGATATGAGCCGTTTTCCATCGTAAGTTTTGAAAAATGCTAAAAAATAGCAAACTTTCGCGGCCATTTTGAGACAGTTCGGACTGAAATTCGCAAGGTTTCAAGGGTGCATCTTGAAAAAGGACTCTTTCTCTATCATATAACGAATAAATAACTCAAATATTATGAAGGGTTCGCAAGATATGAGCCGTTTTCCATCGTAAATTTTGAACAATGCCAAAAAAGAGCAAACTTTCACGGCCATTTTGAGACAGTTCATACTGAAATTCGCAAGGTGTCAAAGGTGCGTTTTGAAAATAGACTCTTTCTCTATCATATAACAAATAAATAACTAAAATATGGCCAAGGGTTCGCGAGATATGAGCCGTTTTCCATCGTGAGTTTTGTAAAATGCTAAAAAGAAGCAAGATTTCGCGGTCATTTTGAGACAGTTTGGACTGAAATTCGCAAGGTTTCAAGGGTGATTCTTGAAAAAGGACTCTTGCACTATCATATAAACAAAAAACAACTAAAATGTCATAAAGGGTTTACGAGATACGACCTGTTTTCCACCGCATGTTATGAAAAATGCTAAAAAGCAAGGGCGAGCAAGGGGTGCTTCATCCAAAACCTTTCTTGCTCTATAATAATTCAAAGAAAAAATAAAATTTTCACGATGGATTTGCGAGATATGACCCATTTTCAACTAAAAGTTTTAAAAAATTCATAAAAGGTGGCAAACTTTCGCAAGGTACGTAATGAAGCAAGAAATATTTGTCGTGTAAATTAGAATGAAAAAGATGATTGCATTATAAACTTACCAATTGTTGTACGCATCAGTCACGAGGGTTCAGCAAGTGCTGGAATTAAAAGAAAAGAAGGTGAAACATTTCATAAGAACTAAAAATGATATATTCATACATCATAGAAAAGATACAATTTTTGTTGTTGAATTAAAAGTTACTTACGCATGGATAATAACGAATACATCTACATGGAGGCCATCCAACATCCGACCGACACCGAACCATGCAACTAGCATAAGTATGCACCCGAAACGCGATCAAGTACCTACCACTTTTGTACAATAATGTATATTAAACGCGCGAATAATAAATAACATTAATATAGTAGTTACAATTAAATAATCGATTGATGATCGAATATAATGCAAATTTAGAAAACAGAAGTCCGAACAAACAATATGTCGATCAAAACTCGTGTAGATCAACCAACGATCGGCACAAAACTGGCTGCAATCCTGCAATAACGCATGCCGTAGCCGAGCTAGCAACGTAGCGAGAGTTTATGATAAGACTACCTGCTGCCCAAACCGCGCCGGCACAAGCAATAGATGCGCAAAGCCGGCGCGTCGATTGCACGCGACCTTGTGCGCGAATTGCAATAGATGCGCAAAGCTAGCGGCGCGTCGACGGCACGCGACTTTGTGCGCGAATTGCAATACCTGCAATCTAAAGTAAACTAGAATATACTGCAAGCGGGGTGAGGGGATCTCAACCACGACAATCGAGAATCTCGTGCGCTGCATTCCACGCGGCGGAAGCGATAAGATAAACAAACACAATTCTTGTACCGTTTGCCGATAAATGTAGAAATAAACAATACAATTCAATACACAATATACTATTTTAAATTAATTATATTATTTTCATGTAAAAAATATAATAGGCAACCAAATATACATACTTATATGTCTTATTTTCAACGTATGCAACTAAATACACATTATAAGGATAAATGAACTTGTCTCATATGAATATGTATGTTTTAGAATTCGTAAAATTGAAAATGCTAAATTTTCCGATGGGGAAAACTGGAAAACAATGAATAAATTATATGAGCACACGTTTACGCGTCACACACAAGTTGAGCGCTTCGTTTTCTTGCTGCGTTTTAATTTCGGACACTCTTCCACCCTTTGCAACAGCGTGGACTGTCGGAATCGGCTTGGTTAGCTAGCGATGCGTGTGATTGGCGGGGGGCATCAAGTTTAACCCTTTTCTGAATTAGTTAATTAATTTATCTTCAGTGGATATGTAAAGTTACACATTTTACTCTACTAAATAAAAGTATGTATTATTTTTTTATATTTAATTTGAATTATGAATGAAATATTGTTTTGTATTTTATTTTTTATTTTTGATTTTGTAATCCCCAAAGGCAGATTAACTTTGTCGCTAGTTACCGAAATAAATTAAACGAAACATTGTCTACGTCTGCGTCTAGCCGTGGCTCAATTAAAAAGTTTAATTACAAGCAGTCTTCATACGTTGCCTTTCTATTTCGAACTTTCTGCACACTTGTACGTAATCATTTTATTGATTTACATGCTCAAGTATATTTTATTTCAAAGGTGTAAAATCGCAGCCTCAGAGAGAATTTACATTTCACATAATCAAAAATTTGATGTTTATGTTACGTGTAGATTATTTTGACTTTTATTCTCATGCATACTTAACTCCGCAATTTAATATCGTTCTTTTTTTGCACCCTTTGGCACATCTAAAAATCTAAAAATCTAAAACCCACGCGGCGCAGGATGCGCAATTTGCGCAAAAAGCCTCGAAGGCTTTAAAAATGTATGAATTCCACCCGCAAATTGCATGAAAAACGACGCGCCACCCTTTCGCCAGAAATCACGCACACGCTCTTCGGGCACTTCAACTGCGCGACCAAAAAAAGGGGTGTCAATGGACACACAGGCAAAAAACGAGAACGAGGGAGTGGAAAATGTGTGGCGAGCATCATCATTTTAAAGTCGGCCGCGCAAATTGCTAGGGTTAACGCCGTCAGAGGGGCGAAAAAAGGATCTCAACCACCCGACGTATTCGTAGGATGCTTACGAATACGATCTCTGGAGGGGTGAAATTAAGGAATTAGCAAAAATGCAATATTTTGTGTGTTATCAAGGTCGTTATCGAAATTACCGCCGGCTTTCCAGTCTCTTACTACTCTTACCCTTTTGCATTTTGCATCAAAAACACAATTCAGTCGAAATCTGAACGAAAATCTTCTGATCGTTAGTACCTCGTTACTATATACAATGTGTTTTAATATAATAAAATAAATTTAGTTAATTATCTTCGTTTTTTCGGCCAGAAAAGTTTGTAAAAAGTTAAAATTACAATTAACACCGGTTATCTGGCACACGTTGCATGTGTCTTTATTGGTAACCAGGGAATCCGCGCAATTTTACCCCCGACTCCGCCAACTTTAAATTACCGGCATCCTTTTCTGCCGGCCGAAAAGTAGGAAGCACTTCATTGCCTCGTTACTTCATTAGGAAATGAGGGTGGAAAGGCGCTCAATGAATTACTGCGGCTGTGGTAAAAGTGGTAAAATCGCGGTCAAAAACCCACCCTCCAGCCCGGCAGTCAGGTCAGAAAACGAAAAGTTTAAATTATTCCCAAATTGCTTCAAAACGCTTCAATTTACATACATACAGGAAAATTACTTGTTTCCATACATCATCTACATTAACTTTGAGGTTATGAAAGGAAAAAGTCAGGTATAACACGCAATTAAAAGTTTTTAATTAATTATTACCTTCAACTTCTTTTTTTTTGTATGCATGTTTCAGTGTATATATATTCAGATTCAGATTCTTTGTGTATACTTGGTTGTCTACTTTTATTTTTTAACACATATTATGTTAGATTTAAAAAAGAAAAGAGTTATTAATATTTCAGGATAAATGTCGATGTAGATGTTGATGTGGAAATCAAGATATGAACGAATTTTTGACATACTGACATCTGCCTGTAATCGAGGCGTTGAATGCTGAAAACGCGCAAGCGGACGCAGACAGGAAGACAGATGGTGCGGAAAAAATTAATAAAGGCTCGACGTTTCAATAAATCAACTCGTTCGTGCACCCGCGCATTACACCCACGACTCGCCACTCGACTCGAGGGCGCAACATTCATTCACATTTCGGCGGACTTCATATATGCGCCTGGATATTTTTATTCATATTCGTATACGCATTCATATTCATTCATTTCGAAAACTATATTTTCATTCATCACTGGTATGAGTTAATGAATAAAAGAAGGGTTTTCGTAGTTTTTTTTTTATTGTTGGATATGTTTAATTGACGTTTGAGTGATGGCATTGAAAGCATGTCAAAAATATAACCTTAGTTTTATTAAAATTTGTTTTTATGAATTATTTAGCCATCTATTGATGAATAATTGAATTAATTTACTAAAACAGTTTGATTTTACTTATCTGCGTATAATTTTTATGATTGTAATGAAAGTTATGCACTTTCATAAGAAATTACGTAATTAATGACTATGTGAGTAAAGTGAGAGTGAAAGTTTTTGCTTTGCGATGCATTCCGATTACTTACTACCGGTTTGTGTTCATTTTGCAACGTATTGTCGTTGAGGTTAAACCATAAAACACAAAAACACTTAAAAATGATATATTTTATATTGTGTTGTATATTGGGTTGCGTTATAACCTTAAAATTGTTTTTGGTACTTACAAAAGGTTATTTTAAAACAAATGTATGTCTTACCGGCAAAACCGCGCTTGTTACAGGTGGAAATTCAGGTAATTAATGAATAAAAACTTTTTAAATGATAAATTAATTAATTTTTGATATTTTAGGAATGGGTTATGAAGTATCACTATTTTTAGCATCACGTGGTTGTAGAGTAATAATAGCTGACGTTGTAAACGCATCCAAAACAGTAGAAAACATAATTTCCACAACAAAAAATCCACAGGTAACATACCAATACTTAGATTTAGCTAGTTTGACTTCCGTGCGAAAGTGTGCCGCCATTTTGTTGTTTAATGAGCCACGATTGGATATTATCATCAATAACGCGGGATGTGCTGGGTTTAAACACAAAACTGAAGATGATATATACAAAGTGCTACAGGTTAATTATATTGGACACTTCTTATTGACACATTTATTAACACGTGAGTATTTATTAAAAAAAATTGCATTTTAAATTATAGTGCAATAATTTATATGTTTTAGCTTTGTTAATTAAAACAAAACATTCACGTGTTGTATTTGTTACTTCACTGCTTGCTTTCACAAATAATTTGTGGAATAAAAATAATATTAATTTTATTACAAGATGGCGGCTTCCGCTGCTGGATGTAATATTTGATTATGGCAATTCAAAAGCTTGTGTTTTAGCAGGCACAGAAATATTTGCACAAAAATTAAGCAAGCATGATGTTATTGTGTCTTCCTGTCATCCTGGTTTAGTAAAAACACAAATTTTTAGAAAATGTTTCGATAATTACACTGAAAAACAAAACATTCTCACATTATTTGTAAGTTTGGTGGTATATATTGTTGTGGCTATGTTTGGAAAGGTATGCAACCATACAAACACATTATTTACATTTTAATTACTTCTTTTTTTAAATTTTAGACACCTAGAGAAGGAATACAAAGTACTCTATACTGTGCATTATCAGAAAACGTACAATCTGGTGACTTCATAGTAGATTGTCACAAATTTCCCAAACCTTTTACTAATAAATTTTGTAAAAACATTTGGCAGGAAAGCATAAGATTAACAGATATTGAAAACGAAGAAATATTAAGCTGAACATTTGCTTTGTTTTCCTCGCACACATGTTGCATTTACCGTGCAACATAAATCTGAAGGGGTGAAACAAATGATGAACATAGCAAAACGCTCAAACGCTCAACAACAAACGAGCTTGCATGAAGGCAAAAAAATACAAACACGAATAAAAAAATCCACGCGAATGAGGCGAATGACTAATGAGTCAAAGCTACCCTCATCTAGAACGTCCGGGAAAAGTGCCTGCACCCTGTCGAATACATGTGACGCACTTATTCTTATTTATAACCTGTTTATTTCAATATTTCATACAAAATTAAATAAAAACAATTTTTGTGTGGTAGGCAACCCAACATACTCATAATATAACCTATAACTCTTTCCATTTATGATTTAATACTATAATTCGTACATATTGTGAAATTACAGATACAACGGAATCCTGTCAATGCACATCACGTTTCATTAGGTTACAGGAAGGGTGATGCGTGTGCACATTGTCTTATTAGCGCAAAATACGCGTAGATAGGAGTAAAGACGTATTAGACATAAGCTCTGATGAACAAGATGGCATACGAGTACCCGTCATGCACATGGGGTTCGCACTTTGTACTTCAGAAGTTCTGAAATTCCAATCTGGATCTTCAAATCCCCGAACGCTTCATCAAGACTTCCCCTGTCACTTTTAACCATCGGAGTCCATATGAGTCTCTATACTCATACGATATCTTCATCACCAGTGGTATTATGCAAATATAAATCCAATTTGTTTTTCTTTTTTTTTTTTTTTCGCAAAAATTTTTTTTTTCCTGCTTTAATAATTAAATACTAACCAAATATTAAACCCGCTGAGACTAAAAAAATAAAATATAAAGTTAATGCCCCGCACAGGATATACCGGATATAAAAACCAGTTTTCCTGTTTCCAGACGCACTCCCGGTCCAAGAGCAACGGAACTGGCGCGCTTCCTTTCTGACCAATGGCCATAAACGTATTATAAAAATGTTTCCAAAGCGGTTTATTACTTATCTCGCAAATGAAATTATCCCTTATCTGAAATTCTACGGCGCGACTCGCGGCGCTCATAAAAATCGTTTTAATGCATCCCGCGTGCCCTTTGGGCAACTTCGGCAGTTGGGGCCAACTAAAACAAACCCCATACGCACCCCACTTTTGACCAGGACGTCCAGGATGTTAAAAATACATCATAAACGTGAAAAAATATCGAAAGCGAAATGAAGCTTACGAAATAAAACAAAATAGAGATATACAAAGTGTTTCAGAAAGAAAAAACGATGAAAATAATCCACTAGTGGTGATGTTTTGATAAAAGTTTGAAATGCAACGTGAAATGGGAAGAATAAAAATTTGTATCTTTTATGACGTTCGTAAACGTTAAAATAACGTCTTTTAACGACCCTTATATCACTCGTTCGTGTAAAAATGATATAAAAACTCAATTTTCTATTTTATTTTTCATACACTGCAGTCTCACCCCCTTTATGCCTCATCTCGTGATAGGATTAATCGTTTTTTTATACAGAGAGTTTTATATAAATTTTAAAACTAAAAAATAAAATACAATAAATGATTTATATAATTAATTAAGAAGAAGACGTTGTAAATTTTATTTCTAGAAGGGTGAAAAGGGTGAGACCACAAATTATCAGCGCAAGACGCTCGTAAATCAGTGATAAATTGTAGAAAATGTAGTGTCGCAAAGAATAATGATTAGAATGCGTGACGCTCTGCTGGGAAACCACTAATTACAACTTTTAATTAACATTCTTGTATTTCTATATTTCTCCCTGAAGTGTGATATTTTATTATGTTGTGTTTTATTTTATTTTTAAGTGTATATCACTTTGTATATTTTTAAGACGACACATGGTAGCTGTTTTTCTATTGATGATTTAATAATTAAGGGTTTTAATTAAGAAGGAAATTAGTATTTAATTGGTACGGGGCACACGACTAAGGAGGAACATTTCTTATGTTTTTACTAAGAAAACACTCTATATATTCGGTAAAACTTAGTTTTAGTAATGAATAAAAAAAGTTTGTGCTATTTTACATAGGCAACACTGAAAGCACTACAGAATTGAATGTTGTAGAGGTTAAATACACTTAAGTATGTTACACTTAAGTTTGTTTGTATTTGCTAGTGATACAGGGTGTTTTCTGCGCAAAAAAAAATTATAAACATAAAAAAAATATATTTCAGGATAATTTTTTGGCATTTTCGAAGAATTTAAAAAGTAAAAAAGACATGTAATTGATTTAGAAGGTCTTTAGATGGAAGATAAACACAAGAAACTTTAAATTGTTTCAGTTTTCCGAGAGATATGAGGTATTTTCTGTTGTCACTTTAAAACAATGAATAGTTTTACTGAATCACCATTATAATAAAACTTCTTGTGCTTATAATATAATCCCAACCGATAAATATTCACATATGCAATATACATAACACACTCCGTGACATTTATAGGTTAAACCGCGACCCGGGTGCGAAAATCTGAAATAAAACCACGCGCTGTGTTTAATTACGACACGGTGCGTAGAATGGTCGCCGCAGGACGCTCTTAATCATAATGCAAATCGTAAAAATTTCATTTCAATTAAGCCAGCGACGCGCTGAGAACCATAAAACGATTGCACCCCTTTATTCATCATCCCTTCATTCACAATTCACCTCGTGGTCATTCCAGGCCCAAGGTCTTAAAACGTGTGAAAGGATAATAAAACTAAACAATAAAATAATTAATGTATGCATTCTCAAAACCACCCCAAGGTGGTTCCCATTCATTTAAATCCTATTTAAACAAAAAAGCAAAATAAAACCAAAATAAAATAATCTCATCCGTGCAAGAATCCGAAATTGAAATTGAAATATCCACTGCTCGGACAACAATATGATAAATATCAGCGACGTTGTTATCCTGGCCTTTGATCCTGCCCGCAGGATATAGACATTTCGATCAAAGTCGGCGGTCTGTAAAGCCACGCTTATGCTCTCCTGCGTCCATTCACATACTCTTCTTATTCTTCGTATTGTCTGATAACATACATATCATACGTTTACTTCCCTTACATTAAAAATCTCTAAAAATATACTTTTCAATGCAATATGGGAAATAATCTTATTGGTACACTCAGTATATTAGGTTTTAACACATGCGTGGCACGTCCGAGATTCAAAATTGATATTGGATATCCGGTCTTCTGACCATGACGCCATTATGTTTGTGTGGGTGGACGGGGTGCGGTGGCAACACCCCGATATGCGATATGTAACGCGCATTGTCCGCGTTTGCCTTTGATGTTTTTTATTATTTGCAGGTGACCCGTTTCAAAGGCTCACAGGATTCAGCTGGATTCAGAGGAGTTCTGTCAGCGCCATCCAAAGTGGTATCATATTCTTGTTATGTCATGACAACAAAATTATCTGTATTTGACAGGTCAGAAAATATGTAATATTGGATAAAAGAGGAGTTTTCTTAAGATAAAGTTGTGTTTGTTCAATTTAACATAGGCAACATTTTATACATGGGTGTAGTAAGTTGTATAGGTTAAATACACTTAAGTAACATTTATTTTGCTTAACTCGTTCGAGTTTCGAAGAAAATTAAACTTATTTACTCTGAAATCGACGTTTTGTGTTTTATTTTAGAGTATAATTATTTTAATGTGATATTATATTGTTGTTGTTTTATTATAACAAAATTATGTGCATTTAAAACATCAAAAAACACTAATAATATCAATTAAAAGAAGAGTTTTCTTTAAAAAATTAAATTCAACTAAGTTTTGTTCAATTTAACATAGGCAACACTTTATACACTCTTGCATTGTAAGTTCCATAGGTTAAATACACTTAAGTAACATTTATATCACTTCACTCCTTCCAATCTCTGAGTAAAACAAACTTATTTACTCCACCATCAACGTTTCGTGTTTTATTTGACACTAAACGTGCTCCATAACTTTTTCTCCTTTGTTTTTATTATACGTCGCGAGTAAAAATATGTCTTAACACGTGACGTGGTGCTAGGTAATAAGGATGTGTGTCCTGTGTGCACAGCGTATGAGTGTCACGCGTTGATAAGGATAACAATGTTATTTTTTAATTTATTGCCTCGGTATAAATATCTATGGCGTGTTTGTTTTGTATGTTGCTGCAAGTAGTTCTTGTGCGTGGATTTATGTCGTCGATTGATTGGCGATAGGGGCACAAGGAGGCACTCCTTCCGATTGGCAAGTTTTTACGCGGCCATAACGAGCGCTAACGGTTTCACGACCTGAGAGCAAGCCCAACATGCTCGCAAATTGCAACTAGTACTTGTACTAGACGCGCGTTTATAACAATCATGGCGAAAATACCTACATAAACATACAATGTGTAGATATAAATAGAGAATGATATAAAAAGGTTTTTTCAACTTTTATTCATAAAGAGTCAATTTTCAACGGTTTTAAGATATAAAAAATGGTATTTTAAGCTAGCAGGGCTAATACCGTGAGAAAAGTACTTTAGTCACGGGTTTTAGTCACGGGGTGGAGCTTGCGCCTGCGCATTTGCCTACGATGCAGCATGGTTTTCAAATTTTGAAGATTTAAAAGACAAAAGTTGAAATACAAAAACTTTAACATGAAATTCGAGTGGAAATGAAAAAAATAGCGAAAGCATCTCGTGACTAAAAGATATTAAACACTCGATTGATTAAATCTCATGACTAAAACTCCCATTTAGCCACTTGATACGGAATATACTATTACAAATGCTTATTCTAACCTTATTTATGTTTGTTTCTGAACACACTGTATGAAAACCGTCGCCGCTCGTCCAAAATGAAGTTACATGCAACATTTATAGTTGGCGTTAAAGAGACGCCGGTTTCGGAGCGCTCCGG